CTAGTAACTTTTTTACAAACTACACAACTTAAATATTTTTTATCCATTGTGATTTAGTAGTTAGTAGCGAAATTAGTAGTTACTAAAATATTTATTTGCAGTAATTATTCTAAACTATTTACACTATGCACGTCAATATTTAATTTATAAATACATATTTGTACATGGTAACTTAATTCCAACAAAAAAAAATAATCTCTGAATTAAAAGCCTGCAAATAATTGAAATGAAACCGAAAAAAAAATTGTTTTTATGAAAATTTGAAGTACATACTCCAAAATACTGTTACGTCAGCCGCATCGACTGCCGACGGGTCTTAATAAACTATCTTTCTCGCGCTTATAGATACTCATAAGACTTTTTTGTCGCGCTCATTTAAAATCTTTATTAGCGTCTGGCAAGTATTAAATCCCATTGAATTCGTCTGGCAATTAACACATATTTTTTAATATCATCTAATAAACACGCTGTAAAAATTTTAGAATGCCTAAAGTATGTTTTCCAGGTATAATAATTAAACATATTTGGAATGGTCTGGTTACACTTTAAACCCGAAAAAAAAGTCTGGCGCACTTATTTTTAGGTTAAATAGATGCTAAAATTTAAGAATAAACAAATTTCAAGTTGCCTAAAGAATGTTTTTTGGATTTATTTTTTTGCAAATGTTATGGGTGGCGCAGTAGCGAAATACCCCCAACCCCCCAGCCAGACTTAGGATTCTGGGTTCACAAGTTATTAAACTTTATTTTTTTTGTTATTTTAACTTGCCTAAAACATGTTCTCTAAATATGTCGCCAGCTCTCCGGCTATTACATTTACAACCCCTGATATTACTGACTTTTAAAAAACTTGAAAGTGTCAAATTATCTACATTTCTTCCCTCTTCCGTTTCCCTCACCCATTTCCCTCACTCGGTTTTTCTTATTTCTCGCCTATTTAATTAAGCAAAATATTCTTGTAATATCTTTATCAAACACTTATCTAGCATCAACAAAAATAAACAAGAAGATTAACAATAATAATTGAAGATTTTGAATTCATTTCTTTGTTGAACTTCTTTGGCTTAAAACCTACATTCTGGCATTTTTAAAAAAGCGACGAGTTTGTAATATTTTGAAATGTCAGTCTTTTTCCTTAATTCTAGCATTGTCCGTATCATGCTGTACGTAGCCCAAAGAGTAGATGGCTTTTTCTGCCTTGCCATGTCGCTAAAATATGCCATCAAGACTGTCTCCGAAGCAATATTCTTAGCATTTCTTTCGGCACACCATTTTTCGTATACTTTCAATGCTATTTCATATCGCCCCCTACTTTTATCTGGAAGTAAACTGGCTTCTGCTCTTTTTGCAGCTTCTGTAAGTTCTGGTGGAGTACCAATATTAAAGTAGTCTTCATTATCAGAACTTTCCGACAACATTCTGGCTTTCTATGTTATACAAATTCGAAAAAGCGAACGAGAAATTCAAAACTCTTACTTAGTTGTTTGCTTTGCTGTTGAAGGTTTGCGCCATTACAACCACTGGTACCGGTAACTTCTTCTTCTTCTTCTTCTTCGTCGTCTCTTCATGTCTGAAGAATAGTGACATTATGGCTATGTGGAGTAGGTGATTTTGATCTTCTATCGTTGGCGATCTTCCACCTCTCGGAGATTTGATTGAAATGGCTGACCTGTAATATTTGCTATTTGGTCAAGGAACGATATATTAGTTTACGTTTTAATAAATATTTTGTATCGTCTAGGTACAAGCTAATTTCTGATGCTACGCCATTGGAGAATTTCGCATGGTGACAAGTGGCCTCACTTTCAGCTGCCGTGTTACCTGTCCCCTCTCTTTCCTTGTCTACGTCCTAGACACAACTTAACCAAGCTGGACATCCTGTATAGCAAAGAAACGCATATAAAAATGCTGTTCAACTAGATTAGGCGGGATTTTTTAAGCGTGAATAGGAAAATTAAAGGAATTTTAAATGAAATGACGCGTTAAATAATAAGACGCGCTCTGCTGGTTGAGCTTGCCCGCGCTGATGACGTCCGAACTTTCCGACCAGGTTAAAAATAGCAAAATACAGGCGTAGCCCCGAACGCAGAATACGGCAGAAGCACCGCCGACACAAATTTCGCAAACTTCCGAAAAATGTTCGTTTATTTAATCATTACGTACCTACACAAAGAAAAATTAATCCAGAGATGTTTCTCAGAATATCACTACTAAACACCGAAATCTTAAAACAGTAATGAATTAAGTAAGCACCTTATTTAGTACTCTATAACTAAAAAAAAAGTGTTATAAAATCTATTTTTTCTGTTTATTTAGAAGTTTGATTTGTTAACAGCTTTAAGGGGCTGTATAGTCCTGAGATAACGATTTCCCAAAGTAACCCTATAAGGGTTCCGTTTTTTCCTTTTGAGGTACGAAAAATGATAAATGTAAAGATTTAAACACACTACAATATAGTATACAGTTGAAAACATTCTGCTGCATCACACAGATTTAGTTTTTCAGGTGTATTTGATTATTGACCTCGGGTAATTTTCCAATCGAGAAAAACTAGAAAAAATTGATATTTTCAAAATACCGTGTTGTTGGATTTTAAAATTAATAGTCCACTATACCCGAATTCTGTTAGGTATTTTCTTTCCGAATATTTTTTATAAAACGCATAGGGTTTTATAAAAATGATATACATATTATGATGTGATATATATCATGATGTGATATATATCACGATTAAATACTTCGAAATATGGTGTGAGAAAGGAAGACATATAGCCTAAACCTAGAGATCAGATCTAGTATCTAGATCTTAAAAAAAAACACTAAATCGATTATAAACTTTGAGTTTACAATCATCTGCTGATGATGCTAACATGGTTAGCGAAACGCGCGTCCAGTGTAAAAGTAAAAGTGTTTTGGTGTATTGTGGTGATTTAGTGTTTTTATTTTGCTGTGTAACACCAAAGGTTCCAACCCTCAACTGTAATCTAGATCTTTATAGCCACTTTAAAAATCTAATTTAATCTAAACTAATTTACCGATCTCTTGACTCTTTTCTTTGGCTTTACATATGCGATTAATATTATAGATTTAATATTCATAATTATTCAAATATGCGTCAATTAGTAGCGAACCACGTGAGTAACGTCTCCGACGCATTCATATCCTTATAGACGTGTAATTTTCAGTTAGTCTCTAACGTTGACGTAGTAAGTACTAGTCTGACGAGTACCACTTCAACAGACAGAAAAATCCTGTTTCTCACAGCCAGCTCCATAGGCATTTAATTGGCGTATAAATGAATCCAAATGAATCGTCATTACACAAAGAAAAGATATAGATTCGGTTGCTCTATGACCAGAAAAGATATAATTTGTGCTCTCTCTATAAAATCTTTGGAAAATATAGAATCTATACTAATATATAAAATCCTTAAGTGACTGACATACTGATTACTCACGATCCTGCTCAAACCACTCAACGTAAGAAACTCAATTTTGGCATACAGGTTGATTCTAGGGTATAGAGGTTCGATAAGAAGGGATTTTTCGAAATTCCAGTTCCAAGAGGGTGAAACCACCCCTCAAATATTACAATATTTTTTATTTAAAAAACGGTCAAGTATCCCAAACAACGCTTAAACACGTATATTTTATTTTGTTTTTTTACATATTTTAAGACTTTTTAAAAATGTATACAGGGTGTTTCGAAAAATCTGGTCATTGATTAATCACGATCCTGCTTAAAGCGCTTGACGTAAAAAGCTGATTTTTGGAAAACAGATTGACTTTAGGGTGTAGAGGTTCGATAAGAAGGGATTTTTCGAAACTTGAATTCTAAGGGGGTGAAACCACCCCTCAAATATTAGAATATTTTTTATTTAGAAACCGATGAGTTTTTCGGAAAAACTCTTAAACACGTATATTTTTATTTTATTTTGTTGTTTTACATATTTTAAGATTTTTAAAAATTTATACAGGGTGTTTCATAAAATATAACTATTGAGTAATCACGATTCTGCTTAAACTGCTTGACGTTTAAAGCTGATTTTTGGTAAACGGATTGACTGTGGGGTGTAGGTAGAGGTAGAGGTAAGATAAGAAGGGGTTTCTCGATTGTTTTTTTTTCTCATGCTGACATAAATGTGAGAAAGTTTTATCCAGTTTGTATGTTAATGGAAATTCTTGCTTTTCTTTATCATCACCATTACAAATGATTAATTCGACGCGAACGAAGTCGCTGGTACACGCTAGTATTTTATATAATTAGATTTAATTTTTTCCTAAAGGCTTATTTACAACATTGCTGTTTATATTTGCACCGAATATTCCAAAAATAAATACAAATTTTTAATAATTTTATCGTAATGTCGATAAGATTTTTTTTTCTGGTTCTGGGAAACATGAAATTCCATTAACTCAAATCAATATTTGAGGTGATAATGAACAACAGTGTTTTTTATTAATGACATTTAAATATAAGCCAAGGACATTTTTTAAAGAAGAATATACTTATGTTGGTATATAAATGGGAATTCCTTTCCAATGTTTATGGGATATTGTATCTAAAACGCTGAATTTTTAGGTACCTATTGTATTATTGACTCTCACCTAGTCATTATCTAAATTTACCAATGAAATTTTTATCAATAAGTAACCATGAACAAATCCTAACCGGTTATGTCAAAAATAAATATGCGATAAGGAAAATGAAAATATCGCTTACCGAAAATACTAATTGTAAACAATCATGTTAGTTCGATTATACTATGATTACCCGATTAAACTGACAAGGATTTTTTGACACCGATTATCATAGCTGACTCAACTTATAACTCATATAACTCATACCCATATCCTTAGAAAATAGTATTTTAATAAGTATTTGTATGTAATAGAATCTCGAAAATAGTTTGTATAGACAACTTCATACAAAGATACCCTCATTTTTGGCATAGAACGAAATCAAGAATATAAAAATCGGAATAAAAAAAGGAATTCCTACCTTCCATCCTGCTGAACTGTTGCTGTCGCCCTTGTCCTTGAAATAAGGCACGTTCTGCACCATCCATTCGTAGATCTGCGACAGCGTGAGTCGTTTATCCGGTGAGGTTGTGATGGCTTGAGTGATGAGGTCGGCGTATGACAGGTTGCCCCAAGCGTTCCGACGACTAGAGTTCTTTTTGGTTGGCAAACCCGATATTGGTACCTAAACACAAAAGAGAAAATAAGTTAAGACCCAAATTAACAACTTTCGATAAAAATCTACGATAAAAAAACAACACCCTTAAAGTTACATGGGATTTATTATACAGGGTGAGTCTTAGATAAGTGCAAATAATTTTAAGGGTAGTATATTTCGACTCCAGAAACACGCCCATGAGGTTTTTTGAGGCAAAAAATTTGGATTTTTTTTAAGTTTTTAGTTAAAAACATAATATATTATCTTCATAATATGGCAACATAGATAGTAGATTAAATTTATAAGAGAGAACACACAGAAAAGATCCAGTGGTTCTCAAAATTTAAGCGAGAAATCTTTTTTTTTTTAAATTCTCCAAGTATAATATCTTGGACTTATTTAAAAAAATTGGCAACGGGAGGCACGTATTGCCGCCCATACTAAAATATGTTAATAAAAAGTTGGTAGGCAGTTCTTTTAGTTTCAAAGTAAAGGAATTTTTCCAATTTTTTTTATTTCAAAAACTGCGACTTTGACTGATTTTGATGTTATTACAAATTTTGTTGCAAATATTATTCCTAATCTTAAATTGAAAACCGCGTTTCGCTAGCTACTGTAATTTTGGAGTTACGATTTTTTAAAATTTCTAACCCCCTCCCATACCCCCTTACCAACCCCCCCCACCCCCACCAAAAACTAATGGCCAGATTCACGGTATTTTTGTGCCAAATTTGGTCCACAGTATTTTTGTGCCAAATTTGGTTAAAATCGGTTTTTGCATTAGGTATCGTGTTACAGACGGACAGACAGACAGACACCATGAATGTGGAAGAGCTCAAAGTAAATATTCGCAATAGTCACAACTCACAACCACCCAATTTAGAATTTTTTTTAGAATTTAGAATGAGTGGGAGGGGGGTTAATCACTTCGACCTTACAGATCCATTGTGTCCCCCTTTCTTGAATCATAACTCATCATACAGTCCCAGGGCTTTGACAAAAGCCAGTATCTGGGACGGTTTTATAGAGGGTAGTTCTCCATCTCCAATATCAGTCGTACCAAAATTCATGGCACGAATGGTTGTCGTCTCGGCGCACTCAGTGGTGAGGTGTACTGGTGTTTCACCATCTTCCCCACAGAATCTGCATTCGCCGTTTCTTCTTAGTTTCAATCTACTGAGGTGTTCATTGAGGAGACAGTGTCCTGTTAAAACCCCGTGACAATCCGAAGATTGTTCTTACTCAGACCCAGGAAGAGCTGTGATTTTTTCTTGATCATAAGCCCTCAGAAACTTCTTCGAGTGTCTTAGACCATTGCAAGATTTCCATTCCAGGTTGCGGATGGAATCTTCCAAGTTCTTTAGTTCCTTTGAGTTGGTTACCACTTGGAAAGCAGAACGGTTCTGGTCCAGTTAGTGGAGTGTTCGCTCCTTTCCTAGCTAGATTATTTGCTTTTTCATTGCCTTCTATCCCTTGGTGAGCAGGCACCCAGTGTAGGAGGACTTTGTTTTCTTTGCCTAATTTATTCAGCTTCTCTATGCATTCTTTGACCAATTTCAAATCGATTGATACTGAGTTGATCGCCTTTAACGCTGCTTGACTATCAGATAAGATGGCTATTTCTTGTTTCCGATAGTTCCTATCTAAGATAAGTTGTACGCATCTCTCGATAGCGTAGATTTCTGCCTGTAGGATACTAGGGTAAGTGCCCATTGGTTCGGAGTAATTAGCTCTCGGCCCAAACACTCCGATCCCTGTTCCCGTATTGGTTTTGGAAGCATCAGTATACCAAGTTATGGTATGGTCTTTTAACTGCTGGGCAAGCGTTTCGCTCTTCCAATCCTTCTTATTGCTCAATACTACATTGACATGTTTGTCAAAGTTGTACGTTCTTGGCATATCGTCCACTGGGAGTTGCAGGAGTGGTATTTCTTTTTTGAGGGTGTTCCAAGCCTCTGATCTGACAATTCTCCCAGTACTAATTCCGTTAGTGACCATTCTAATCATTGTCGCATTGGCATATCTACCAATGACAATGTGCAGTGGTGTTAGATCTAGAATGACCTCCATTGCTGCTGTTGGACAGGTTCTCATGGCTCCTGTGATGCAAACACATGCTAGTCTCTGTACTTTGCATAGGTTTAGCCAACCACCCAATACGAACAATTTGGTATTTTTCTTTTACTTTTGTGCAAGGCTAGGCTACTCATCTCCCCGATATGCGGGACAACAATGTAATTCCCCATACAATTCAATGACCGCATGTTTATAGATAATATAACCACTAATTGCTCTGTCATAGATATCATTTTACAAGCTGTATTTTATTTCTTTATTATTAAACAGCTCGTAAACCTTAATTCAATAATTATAACTTTTAAAGAAATGGTTTAGAATGAATGAAGTACAAATGTGAATATATGAGTTGATTATTCAATTTTTTTATATATTTACTGAATACTTAAACAAAAAATATGCAAAATATTAATTTAATGATTCATATACAGAGTTTTAAAAAGCTGACGTTGCTGAAATTTTAAACTTTTAAAGATTTTTAATATTCAAAAAAAAATAAGTGGCACACATATTTATGATTATTGTAATAAAGAATTCTGTAGTGATATTTGAATTTATATTGTGATTTGATACGCAAAGAGTTCCAAAATTGTATACAAATATACAGGGTGAGTTTAGTGTTTTTTTTTGCGAAAAGAAAATTTGAAAATTTGGATTTTTTTTTAATTTTTAATTAAAAAACATAATATCTTCATAATATGGCAACAAAGATAGTAAATAGTAAATTTACAAGAAAGAAAAATCTTCGCTCGAAATTTAAGTCAAGAATATTTTTTTTACATTTTCAAAGTAAAATATCTCGGTTATATTTGACTTATTTCAAAAAACAGTAAAGAGAAAATATGTTTCTTTTATCGAGATCTACCAGCCCTGAAAATATTTGCACTTATTTCGGACTCACCCTGTACGCATTGAAACATCTTTTAATAAACTAGAAACTAGAAAGTCTAATTTTTAATTAATTACATTGGTGCAAATATAAATGGGCTATAAATAGTTAAAATGTATGTCCATACACTAAACGAATTAAAAATTAGTCTATAAATACCTGTAATTTTTGCAATAAAAGTAAGAAAATTTGATTGTTTAAGAATTTTAACTTTCAAGAATATTATTAATCATCAATTTTTTGCAAATTTTGTGGAATACCACCCGAAATACACACTTTTAGGCAAATGCCTAATAATGTTAATGCTTAAATTTATTTGAGAAGAGAAAAAAATTTGAGCCTGATCAACAATTCGTACTTTATAGTGGTTTATTTTGTTAAATTACAGGAATATTGATTATACGACAATGTCCACCAATGAAAATGCGAGTTGCCTAACTCTAATAATTCTAATTCTGAGCTACTAAATGAGCTAGATGCTTTAAAGAGCTACTAAAAGACCTAACCAGAGGATATTGGTACACAGGTACTGTATCAAGTTAATATAATGATTTTCTTAGCTTTAAATCAAATGTTTTTTTGGCGTTCCTTACCACTTTTTTTCTCGCTAACTCGTGCGTCAAGGCCATGTTGATTCAAGGCCGTCGCGTGTCGCGGCCTTGAATGTTCACTCCCATCGCGCTTAATGAAGTTTCACTTCATTAATCTTATTTAATTTAATTCATTAAGTTTATAGTAGCATTGTCGATGTCGTCAAGAATTACATTTAAAAATACCGAAATATACATAAATATCCTGTTTTTTAATGTCTAACCTCCAACCTTTCATTAATTATTAATAATTATTTTAAATATTTAAATACAAACATCTTTTACTGTTTTACCAATACCTATTAGCTCGATAAATTTGAACAAAAATTATAATATATTTTTCGTGATTTAGTTGTAAGTTTTATGATTAAGTAGACTTTGAAATAGGTAATGGTTTATAAATATTTTTTATGAGAAATTATACTAGAATTTATTTATTTGTCAACAAAATATATTTTGCCACTAAAACATATTTTATTTTGATTAGTATTAAGTAGTATTTTTCAGCGAATTTCCAAATATATTTTCAAGAACTAATAGCAGACACAATTCTCGGTTACTGTTGACCAAGGTAATCATCTAATGATACAACTTTACGTTGTGTTATTGACTTAGAAATTAACATATCTGTTAGCAAATCACACGCCTTCGTGTTGGTATAATTATCGATAAAATTCTAGAATAAAAGCAGTTTATTCTGTGCATTCTCCATTTTGAACGTGGAATATTTTAAGAGATCTTTAAAATGTTTTAAAAGAATTTTGTTTAGTCTCTATATGACAACTTTATAGAGGAAAATAAATTAATAGTTCAAGTAATAAAGCATACACTTTTATGTTATTTTTATCTATACTAATACCAGTTCTATACTAATACCAATCGACTCGTTTGAAAGTTATTGAAAGTTAAATTTCAACTTCAAATCGTATATGATAACTTCCAAAGTGACTGACATACTGATTAATCACGATCCTGCTCAAACTACTCAACGTAAGAAGCTCAATTTTGGCATACAGGTTGATTCTATGGTGTAGAGGTTCGAGAAGAAGGGATTTTTCGAAATTCCAGTTCCAAGAGGGTGCAACCACCCCTCAAATATTACAATATTTTTTATTTAAGAAACGGTCAAGTTTCCGAAAAAACGCTTAAACACGTATATTTTATTTTGTTTTTTTACATATTTTAAGATTTTTTAAAAATGTATACAGGGTGTTTCGAAAAATCTGGTCATTGATTAATCACGATCCTGCTTAAAGCGCTTGACGTTTAAAACTGATTTTTGGCAAACGGATTGACTGTGGGGTGTAGAGGTTCGATAAAGAGGGGTTTCTCGAATCTCAAATTCCAAGAGGGTGAAAACGCCCCTCACATATTACAATATTTGTTATTTAAAAAACGGTTAGTCTTTCGGGAAAACGCTTGGACAAGCATAATTTATTTGGTTTTTTTACATATTTTGAAATTTTTAAAAA